AAGTTCAACAAGGTCCTATAAAGACTACTGTCCTTCTAAAGGGGGTCTCCAGAGGGGTTTCGCGCTATCTTGGGACATGTCACGCGTGCCTCGCAACACAGCAATACAACACACATTTTGGGGTTTGCAAGGGTTGAGGGTTTACACGGGTTTCCGGTTTTGCAGCCCCCCCAAAGCCTGAAACAACATGCAAGAACCCTATGAATGACCAGAGCCCTTCATCGACTTCAGCATTTTTTACGGCAAATACCTGGACGTTGCCTAGTTGAACCATTACAACCATTAATAAAAGGATTTTGGTAACCCCAACCCCCCAATTTAGGACCCTATAACCAGCACATGATAGTCATATGGTCCTAATTTTGGAGGTTGGGGTTACCAAAATCCTTTTGTTAACCACGGATACGGTGCCATCCCTTTGAGCTGCCTGGGCATTTGCACTATAGGATTTAGTGTTGGGGTGACTCCATCCATATAATAGGGTTTAGGGTTTATAAGGGTTTAGGGCAAGGTTTAGGGTTTATGCAGGTTTAGATCCGTATGACAAGGTTTAGGACTGAGGGTTTGCAAATATGTGCAAACTGCATCTGCTTGCACTGTCTGAGTTCGCGGCCTTCTCGGATGAGCCTGCAGCTGGTGTTAGCCAAATATGCAAACAAGCCAGTCGACTTGTTCAGGTGGAGAGATTGAGGTCGAAAAGATAACTGACCAATGTTCCAAGAATGCTTGACCAAATTTCTTTATCTTCATCTGGAGAGATTGAGGCCTGGCAATGCTTGCCCAAATCCTTAATCGTCAACTGCGGATCCCAAAGACATCCTGTATCACAGCCTGATCCCGTATGTCATGCAAGGCTTCAGATTTGGTGTAGCCGCACCCTCCATAAGGTATTGTTCCACGGACTGATAGTGTAATAGAAGTGGATAGGGGCCCAGATATAATTATCATTGCTCCTGTGGTCACTAGAAGCGGGTGGGCGGTCCCTACTGCTTGGCAGGAGGGCGCCAAGGCTGCAGAGAGCGCGAGTTTGCCAAAGTTCCTGTTCAAAAAAACAGCGAAACATATGACGGAGAGAGCCATCTTAAATTGGAGTTTCTCAACGCAGGGAGATCTTTGAGACCCCGGGGTGGATAGATAGAGATTTTAGGAAGATTCTAGGATCCACTGTGGAGATCATATAAACACTACCAAACCCAGAGGAACTCAGTACCTCAACCATAGGGACCCTTTTTACCCTGACCCTGGATTCCAGCATAAAATCCTGAACTGAATGAACCTTACCAGGCGCCAAGCTCGTCGAGCGGGGCAGCGATGCTTTCCCCAAACCACCTGTCGAAGCTTGAGATACTATAGTATTATAATATCGTAGTATTATGGTGCTATGGTATTCTAATATTGGTGTTATACAGAGATACTATGGTATTATATAAGATCATCGTATTGTGGCGTTGTGGTATTATAGTATTGGTGTTATACTATCTACCTGTGGGACAGAAGACAGGTAGCAGCTAGCATATGAGGCCCATCGCTGTGAACCAGGAAGGTTCAAAACTGACACAAGCACACATTGACAAGCCCTAAGGGTCCAAGGACCCAAATATTAGGGTTTTAGGGCCCAAATACTATAATATTAATGGTATTTAGGCCCTAAAGACTTGTTATTTGGGTCCTTGGACCCTTAGGGAAAGTCACTGGTTTTTAGAAGACACTTTATAGCTGAAGTGGGAATCTAAATTCGCAGAATGCGGGGCTGCGGCCTATCGTACACGACTACATAGGGATTTCAAGCAGCCTCACAATGTTCAGTGAGAGTCAGCAAAGAAAGACCTCGGCCGCACAAGTATCCAGCATTCGCAACCGCACTGTCTTTTTTAACCTCCATACCCGCACGTCCTGGCCCTCAACAGCCAGAACCGCCGGCGATTTTGAGACCTGAGCTGTCTATGTACTTCAGCGATGGAATCGAGAGCTTTTTTGTATATGGTGTTATGGTAGCGCGCGGAATCCCTATAGTCATGTGGGGGGGTCCATAAAAGCAGCCCAAGGCCACGATCTCTCCCCATGGGCGACGGGCACTTGTGAGGTTCTTACCTGAACCCCAAGGCCCATGGGGACGGCCTCTTCGGTTTTTTGCAGATTTTTTTGGCATTTTTTGATGTTTTTTTGGGTCCAGGCAAGGATGATGGCTCCAAAACCACAAGCTTGACTACTTTTAGACGAGGGCTTGAGCTTTCTGAGAGGTCCCCAACAAGACAGCTCTCCTTGATGCTAGGCCCAGAGCAATTCGTCGCGGGAAAAGCGCTGAGAAGGGACACCACGATCGAAAACAGGAGGACTCCACCTTGCATCTTTTGACAGCCCTATGCGAATCCTCCGATGTCCAAGTTCCCTGGAAGCCTAGTAGAAATTGGGATTATGAGTAACAGACATCAAACACAAAGTGTTCAGGGAACTTCCAGAATGTGCTGTGAGTATCTCAACCTTTGTGGAAATCTTTCTCCAACATGCTTGCAGAAGCTCTACTATGACGGCCAGGGAGACCTACAAGCTAGACTTCTAACCCCTAAAAGACACATCAGAAACAAAAAAATACGGCCGCTGGTTAGCATACTTACTAATTTCCCCTAGCCTCCCTGACCCTCCGAGTACCATGCAAAATTACGTTGCTTGAGGGTCTGTGTCTGTGCGTGAGTGCATCTCAACTACAACCCCTATATAGGACCCGAAAGTAATACGCAGATTTACTGCCCCCCTCCCTCTTAAGCACCAATACGCTGTTAAGGAACTTAAGTTAAGTTACCATAATGGGCATAACATAATAATTAATGGGGTTTCCCCAATATAGTAACTTGAATTAAGTTCCTTAACAGCAACCCAGCAAGAAGCCACATGAAGTATGCGAGGCTCAGCCTCCAAGTATCACATTCACGGCGCCCACGGATGGCCGCCTCCAAACAATGTCCTGCACTGCTTTGCACGCACACGTTGAAGTTGCGTTTCCATGAAAGGGTCCCCAGTAAAGACAACAAATCGCATGTTTATGTTCCAAGCAGGCACTAATAGTTTTCTGCAAACCTCAGCATCATGAAAATAAATCGTTGCCATGTATGCTTCGAGGATGCAATCTTCCTCGTTGTGGATTTGCTAACTCTACTGGTTTTGCACTCTACGTCCTGAACTTCTCTTGTAGAATCTGGTCACTGACAAAGTCTGTGAAGGGTCCTACCTCTGATTTTTGCGAAATAGTTCGCGGGTGTCTACTATACCCTTTGAAAAAGCCTGGAGGCCAAACCGCAAGCGAACTTCGGCACGAAAACCTATCTGAATGCACGAAAAACTCTGAAGCCCCTAGAACCTAAATCCCTTAACCTGAAACCCTAAACCTTAAACCTTAAACCCCTAGACTTGAAACCCTAAACCCCTCAACCCTTGAAAGCCAGTCCTCAGCCCACTCCTTGCACTGAACCTTCTGCTTTGGAAGGAACCTGATGGATTACTGTTCCCGGGTTCAAGGGATAATGGAAACAAAATGGAAACTACTATACTATAGTATATAGGGATAATATAGGGATAATGGGGTTATATACGGTTTAGGGTTTAGGGTTTAGGGTTCAGGGTTCGGGGTTAGGATTTATTGGTGCTTAGGGTTTAGGCTTTAGGGTTTATCGGGTTTGCCTGCAAACCGAAGTACCAGCAGTTTCATTTCAATTCCACCCTCGTGAATCGATAGGTACAGGTGTAGCCCATGAAGCTGTAGGTAGTTGGGGATGCAAGCAAGGTTTAGGGATTGGGGTTCGGAGGCTCAACAGAAAAGAGGTCCGACACGCCAGCAGAAGCAAAGGTGCTGCAAATTCTGCTCTTTCGTCAGAAGATGTGGAGCCAGCTCTAAATCAAGTCATTATGAAACGGAGGCAAGAGGGTCTCCCCAAGTCAGGGGGTACTGTGTTGGGGATTCCTACAATAAGGATTATAGTAGCCTGGGGTCTATAATAGGCTCAAAGCGGAGGCGCTAAATACTAACAACTGCACATGATCCCGATATGATCCTTGCTAGTTGGCCCCATGAGGATGCGTAACTCTTGATCCTAAGCCCCTACCCAGGCCGCTAAACTAAATTCCTCAAACTCCAAACCCTGCTCCTTAACCCCTAAAGCTCAACCCCAGACCCTTAAGCGGGTAAAACAGGAAGCAGCCGCTGTTTCTGTGGCCAGCTCACAATTTGCAAAGCCCAGGCCGCAAGCCCAGGGGTCTAGGATTTGTAAGGCTTGTGCTGTAGGATGAATTTGGCTTTCCAGGTACAGGATCTAGGGCTTAGGTCGTAGAATCTATGCTTTACACTCTAGGATTGAGGGCTAATTAGGTTTGATGATTCAGGGCTTAACCCTAAACCCTAAGCCCTAAACCCTTGATTCAGGGCTTACGCTTTAGGACGTATTTCACCACCTGCAAGCTCTGGATCTGGCAGCCCCACACCTGGCTTCAACTCTCTAACTTGCCCCAAAACCATGATCTAAACCCTAAATCCTATACAACCCTATAACCCCTTGAAACGACCCTGGGAGCCCCTTTTTCAAGAAGCCTGATACGCCAAACTCCAAGTGCGGTCGGAGAGACCAACAAAATGTCAGGGCGCCCGCGAGGTTCACAGCCATCCTTGCACAAAGTAGGGTTTCCACAGTTTTAGGGTTTAGGTTTTAGGTGGGGGTCTCAACATGGAGAGAGAACATGGGATGTATCAGGACTGCACTGTGATTCTACGGGTCCCTCTTCAAGATTTTGTAGGGGTAAACTCTGTAGGGGTAATTTTCAGACACGGCAAATTGTCAGATATGAAGATGATAGAATGTGTGCAGGATTCTTAGAGGTCTGCGTGTCTATGCCTAAGCCAGCTGCATGCAGGACGGAATGCGGCTTCCCTTGAAGCTCTCACAGCCAAATCACTGCTATGACGCTTGCGGCAAAGTACATCCCTAAACCCTATAAACCCTAAACCCTAAACCCTAAACCATGTACAAGTCCTCACTGCAGCCGGGGTTCGTGAAATACGTCGCCCGGGCCATATCGGCGTTAAACTCATCTTGCGGTGGGTTGGGATTGCTTGGAGTCGGAAAGTAAGATTGAGCGATGCCGTTCAAATGGAAGATGGGAACAAACAAGTTCTGCAGGTTCGAATTCCTCAGCTGTCCGGCCACCATGTGCTCGAAAGGGCACAACTAAACAGACCTCGCGGCTGCAGATTCTAGAAGAAAGAGATCTGGCCTAGTTTACACAAGTATGACGTAGCCAATCTCTTTTTATTCTGTCAAGAGCAGCCGAGAACTACCTTGTGCTTAGTAGGGAATGAAGGAACGGATGCCTAGATAAGTCCCCATACAACTCCAGCATAATAGTCCCCATGAATCCATTCCCCAACTTCCTACCAAACGCCAGCGAGTTGTGTCAGGAGCAGCCAAAGGTCAAGGTAATTCCGGCATTGTGGATGGTCGTCAGGAACTCATACCTGGGTTCACTTCTGCGGCAAGAACCAAGGGGAAACCAAACGCAAAAGAGTAATGCATGAGGCTAGATTAGAACAAAGGTTAAAGTAAATTATACACCAAGGATGAAACCTTGGTTGGCCCTTGGAGCCCTTTGAAAAATATTAGCATACAGGGTCCTTATGAAAGCAAGAAGGGAAAATATTTAAGTATCCCAAAGGCCAACCCAGAAACATGATTTCTACCGAAATTGTCAGCCCTTCAGGGTATTGCAGTCCTAAGTTGGCAACAGATTCACTGATGAGCTTCCCCTTGCACCTGGTCCCCATTTGACATGGAAAGCTGCAGTTGATCGGGGCTATAGAAAATTATATGGATGACTTCACAATACTAGAGATGGCATGGGTCCCTCTTTAAGGTCCTTCGTTGGCGGTCCCTAGCTCCGAGAAGCAGAGCGCAAAGTGAAAGACATGATGGGCTTTTGGATGGCCCCCATGTATGTGGCTTCGCCAAGAAATAGTGTATCCCCCGAAATCCATCACTGGCAGAGTTCTGGTGTCTAAAGTAGGGCCCTAAACACTTGCAATAAGGTTTGGGGGCATATTCCATTATGTAGCTATATGGGAGTCATGGGAGGATGCTCTTCACAACTATTTCAGACCCTAAATCCTAAACCCTAAACCCTAAACCCTAAATCCTAAACCCTAAACCCTAAATCCTAAACCCTAAATCCTAAACCCTAAACCCTAAACCCCTATATCAATTTCAGGAGAAGCTGCACGGAAGCCTCGTAGCCCGCAGGTGATATTTCCACGACTGCGAGGCTTGACAGCACCTGCCATCTTGTGGACAAATGTAGAACCCTCCTTTTAAGGGTTTATAGGGGTAATATAGGGGTAATATAGTAATGTAGGGGGGAATATAGTGGATAATGGAAGATAAAATGGAAACTACTATTTAGGGCTATTAATGACTCCCTCTTTTTTAGGCCCTGAACATTAGGATCCCTATTACAATCCCTATTAAGGGGAGGGAGTTTATTAATCAGGGGTCTACATGAAGGGGGAGCGGGTGAAAACAGCGGGCCGAGTGCCGACGTCCGAAATGAAGCGCAACCCTGGACACAACTGTGTATGATCTCCTTGAGAGTGTCAAGTCCTTTGTCTTTTGCAGTTCTATTGGTGCGCTGCTCTGCGAAAATCTTGACATGGCCAAAAAAATCGAACATTCAGAGCAAATCCCAAGACCCGCCAAAACTCAGAACACCAACGCTAAACCCTTAAATCTCCCTGTCATCTCCGGGCAAGCACCTGCGCGATCCCCTGGATCACCATCAAAATGTTGCCTGCGACGCATGCGGTGGTAAACCGTGGTGGTATCTAGATCCCTGCAGCACGCTCCCCGCGCATGGTTCTGACATGCTGAAGGTCTGGTACGGCACAAGAGGTTCTGACACAAGGATAAACTGGAAATTCTCATGTGCGACTTAAGGAAGCACAATCCTATGCTGTGCAAAACAAGGCGTTCACGCAAACAAAACCGAGGCTCTTGCCAGAAGACCGCAAGCGGTCTGTGGTCAGAAGAAATTTGTCAGAAGAAAGGCAAGTATACCATGTCACACTTTTTAAAAATCAGACCCCAATCGCTCAAGTGCAATGTCATGTAAACAGGAAAGCTATACTTGCATGCTCAAAGCGAGCCACTGCCAAAAGCATAGAACCAGCCGTCTTGACCGATTCCCCATGCCTCCACCAGGGTGGCGGTAGTTCTGGTGCTTGTAATGGTAGCAGCAACAAGAAATAAATGTTGTGGTAAAAATAGAAACAGCAGGAGTAGAAGTTGGAAGAGGAGGAGGACTAGGGCCATGCATATTGATTGTTCCTTTCTACGCTTTAACTTCAAAGGCGTTCAGAAAAAAGTAAAATGAAGAATTACGAGCTTCAGGTGAGGACTCAGGTGAGGCTTGGGTGCCAGGAGATCTGAGCTCAGGAAGCAGACCCAGACAAATTTGGGCATTGCACAGAAATGTCCAAAACTATGGGGCTAAGTCGAGGTCGTACTCCGTCCCTTTTCCCCCTGAGGAAGGTAAAAGAATCACTTTTCGCAAAACATGTCAGGAAACCAGCCTGAGAAATATCTGGCGTGGACTTCGAAAGGGCTCAAACAGGTTTAGAGTTCCGGGCTTAGGGTCCAAACCCAGATTTTGCCACCAAGCATCGTTGTAAATGACCATGAGCTGGAAGCCATTGTTTAAGGCAAGTATCCTGATTTTGGAAGCTGCAGAAGACAGCACAAGCAACATAGAAACTGTTGCTGATTGCTCAGACACTTGCATTCAGAATGGGGGTTGAAGAAACTTTGGACCAGCTTTTTACTTCGAAGCTTGGCAGACCTCAGGAATTTCAAGCGGAGACGCCGTGGAAAGTCCTTGTATTGCTACGCTACACTCAGTATTTATTTTGAAGGGTCCATGTATGTCTATATAGTACATAGTTACTTCCGGCCCATCGGGTTTCGTATGTAAGCAATGGACACGGGTTATTACTAGCACAGCATCCAGGACTATGCAGAATGAATGATCCCTACTGTCTGTTTCCCCTCACCAGGACACCTGCAATCTCCTTGTAACCCCTACGACAAAGACCGCTCACGCAATCCTCAATGCAGTTGCAGTCAGGCTTCATGGCAGTCCATACGAATGTCATGCGCCAGTTTCGCGTCATGAAATATCGCCGGAAGAGGAACACGCCTGTCCATGGGCGTCCCATACTTCTTGCGCTAGGCGCTATAATCCCCTGCCCCTGTTATTGCACTATTCTGGTAAGATAACATCGTCATGGGTTGTATCTAGCAATAGGGTGTGGGGGTGTTTCGTAACATGCGAAAAGGGTTGCGTGAAGTCTGAAGGGAATGGCATGGTTGACCCATGCCCAGGTGGTCAGGAGGAGCCACGGTGTCAGGCTTAGGGCCTTGATCCCTAAAACTTAAACCCCAAGCTCTCTGTTGTAGATCTCGTAAGAGAAGGACCATCTGCTGCAGAGATGACATGAATCATCAGTACTTGGCTCTCATTGATGCAAGCCTAAACTGGCATTTCCAGAAATGGCGGTCCCCTTGATGCAGCCCCAAAGACTATAATCCTCATTTTAGGGATCCAAAATGACACCAAAAAGGTCCAGAAGCCGTCAAACTCTCAAACTTCACCACAAATCCTCATGGTCCTCATGGCATTGCAGGCGTTGCGGGCTTGATGAAGGAGGAGGCGGAGATGGAGAAAAGAAAGGTCGATTGAAGAATTTGGGTCCCCCTCCCTCAACTAAAACGGAACTGCCAGAAAGGGTCCCATAAGGACTATGTCATAGGGAGGATACCCAGGAATTAGGAGTAGATCATGCTTAATCAATACACCTTACAGTAAGCCCTAGATCCCAAACTCTAAGACGTAAGGAGTGGCCCCAAGGGTCCAAGTAGCTAATAATCATATACCTGCCCAAAACCTGCATCATAACTACTATTATACACCCAAGTACCTAACTATTGGGTACTTGGGTCCTCTGAGTAGATTGGGGCAGGCTACCTCTAATTCCCGGCCTAGAAGGAACATCGCGTTCCCAGCAAAGGTGCCAACCTGGTTCAAGATTTAAGCTACAGTCTAAACTCCTAGTATCTCCCCCTATTAGCCCCTATAGTATAGGGTTTAGGGTTTAGGGATAAGGGTTTAAGGCTTAGCGTTTAGGATAAACTCCTGGTATCTCCCTTGATCACCCCTATAATAATCCCTATAGAACCCCCTTTAAGGAGTTCAGACTATAGCTCATGTAGCGTTTAGGGCTTAGGTTTCAGGGTTTGGGCTCGCTGTTTAAGCTTTGGTGTTGAGGGGTCCAAGGCCATATGCTAGCCTTCTTGCACAGACCAATCTTAGCGCTGAGAATTCTCAGCTGCAACATATCAGGGATTTTCTATCTATAGGGACACCTTTGACATACTCGAACACAAGAAGATTAGCGTCCTATATGAATATGAGTGCGTGTGATCCTTCGCCATGTTTTAGCCTTGTTTTACGTACCCACCAAAGAGAACCTAAATTTCTTTGGCAGCGCGAAGCCCTAAACCCTATCTCTCCACATGCAACGAGATAGCCCCCTTTCACCTTTCATGTGGACCCCTGAAGTTCCAATAAGTCCGCGGCCGAGTTCTGAAGTGTCGAGGGCGCAGCGATAAACGCAATTATGTTCCTTAGTCGCTGGCTGGTGTATGGGTTGGGTATGGCTTCCGGGTTAAGGGTTAGGGTTTAGGGGACTACTGGTTGGGGATCTTAGAAACCATATGGGTCCATTTACTCAATAATTAATTGGGTACTTGGACTTTGGTACTGGTAAGTGCAATACAAACTTTTGGGGAAGTGGTACCCGTGAAACGGTACCTTAATTTTGGGAAACCCCCCATATGTTACCCCAGGTCAGTCATCTGAAATGGCTAACAAGCTGCTGAGCCGGATTCAGCAGGCTAGCGATGGCCATGTTGCCTTCGATGCATCTCGTTTAGGCTTTGGCATTTAGCTGGCAAGCCCGTGTCCCATGGTAATGGTTTATTACCCCAAGGATCCCCCAATTTCGGGTTCAGGTCAACTATTGTTTTGGCACCAGGTAGGGCTTGGGGTAATCTTCGTACGTTCTGTTCTTCGAAGACTTTCACATGCGGCCTCCTAGTGTGCTGGGCCAAGGAGCTACTGCTTAGGGCTCCCCGCGTGAACTTCTAGAGTGTCCCACAGAACACGTGGTCCAAGAGGCCCAACGCGAAGATGATGAGGTAGAGCATGACTTTGGTCTTCATGACCTGAAGCTTAAGTGGTGGATGCTGGATATGGTGGCTTGAGAAAAGGCGGGGTCCCTGAATACCCTGCGAATGTATGGCGTCCTTGTCAGGGATTATGACAGGCTCACTTTGAGAAATACCCAGAGGAGGTGTCCAAGATTAGGGTTATTCAAGGACTCTAATACATTGGGAATTCGGTATTGTGGCTTTCCCATTGATGGACAACCCTAAACCCTAAACCCTCTGCGCCGTATACCATATACAGCAAGAGCTCAGATCAGGGGGCCTTCCACATGACCTTTGCCACATCCTGCGGGCTATGCATCGTGACCACCTGCTGCGGAGGATCCTGCAACTGACTCTTAGGGTGTAGGGTTTGAATAAGGTTTGGGGTGTAAGGTGACATTCCTCACTGACATGCCAACTTGTTTGTATAGGGGGGGAATTCAAGATGGTGCCCGCGATGATATTATCCAATACCTCGCAGGCTGTGTGGTTGTCCAGGGCTGGGGGTCTGGAATCAGGGTGTTATGATTTTTTTTGGGGGGGAGGCTTGGGCTCTGTCTAGTATACCATCTCTCTCTGTGTTGTGGCTGCTGGCTTACCTAGAGAATGTGGGATACTTCAGGCGTTCTGGCACAAGGTTTCGGATACCGCGCCTAGTGTGTAACTAGTTGCGCGTGGCGCGATACCTTCTAGGCCCAATACCTTTCAAAAAGACAGTGTCGTATCTGGTCTGCAACTATAGCAGACTCGACTACCTTATTCTGACCAGTGCTGTTTTTGCGTTCTGAGTAAACTCTTGGCGTGTGGCAACGTTGCAACATCGCATGGTGCCAGCAGACAGATACCCTGACCACAGCAGAGTATCGCGCTGCAGGTCAGAGTGCAAATGGAAAGACCCCAACACTAAAAGCAAAACCATAGCTGCCTCAATGTGGCAACACGTTTGCTATTAGCAAAGTTGGAAGACCAACGCTCCCACGGAGTTCAAAAATTGAATCGACACCGGCAGGGGCCCTTCGAGGGCATCTTGCCTGCCTGCCATTTGGATCTCTAGGCCTGAAGCTGGCATAAGCTGGCCTCGCGCAGAAGCTCAACGATGTTGTGAGCATCTCCCATCTGAATGTCCACATACTCAGGATCCTGTGGCCCGAAACGAGGTATCGGTTCGGACTTCATGGCCACGACCGGTCCGCACCACGTTTCTGCGCGCACAGCTCGCAGAGAAGTTTCTTAATACAAGCGTTCGGGAGGGAACCATCAATCAAGAATTCCTCTCGATGTAGCAGATGCAGTGGCTTTGGCAAATGTGCCAGCTGTTGCTGTGGTTCGCTCCCGAACGCTTGTACGAAGAAACTTCTCTGCGGAGCTGTGTGCGCAGAAATGTGGTGCGGACCGATGGTGGCCATGAAGGCAAGAGATCACTGCGAATGGAACCAAGCATCCCTTCGCCGAGCAGTGGCTTAAGCTCTGGCGACCACCATGAAAATCCATCGTGATGCTTGAGCCTGACGCGGACGTGCACAATCTGCAGCTGAGGCGACCCTTCCGGAAGTAGGATGGCTCTGACAAACTCTCCCTCGGGCTTGCTTGGAAACGGGTGCAGGGAACACAGGATCTTGTGAACCGGCCAGTCTTGCCGCTGGCTTTGGCAAGAAGGGCATACTCCTTCACCAGCCTTTTGGGTGCGTCTGACTAGGCCAGGCTTGGGAATGTTGAGTGGCAAGGTTTCGATCTGCTCTTCTGGAACACCAAAGCGCTTCAGGTACACAGCCATAGTAGAATCATCAACTTGTACACCAAAGCCATATTTTCCTGTGCGCAATGCGAAGTAGGAACCTCCCCCGTCTCCGTGTCCTACCCTTTCGGTGACAGCATTCACAGCTGCGCTGCTGGCTGCATCAGAACGGAGGCGCTTGTCGTAAACTGAGAAGAAGACATTGGCTAAGCCAGGGTCATCCTCATAGCCAAAAGCTATCTCCAAAGGATCGCCTGAGATTGTCATAATGTTCACTTCAGATTAAGTCCCGGGCCCGGAACACAATTATATTAACCCCCACAACTAATTATAATATCCCCCAAACGTGTGATTTTTTTGGGGACAAGGATTTCAATTAGATTTCAATGACTTCAAAGCTGGCCCTCTTTCCTGCAAGTGAGTTGCCTGGAATCTCGAAGCGAGGCATGTCGCTGGCGTGCACGGCTCAAGTGCGTGATTTGAGCCGTGGATGGCTGCAACTTTTCAAACCAAATAATGCAGATGATTTTGCGGAGGTTCCTTGCTTTGGAGCAGCTCCCAAATCTTGGCAATTCGCGACAGCGGGACTTGCACGTTTTGCAGCTGATGGCTCTGTTCTGCGAGACCGACTCTCCATTAGTCATGTCAAACCCTTTTGGCCTAGTAATATATTATTGACTCCTACAATCGTTGCCATCTGACAAAGGTGGCGTAGTTCAAGTGGACAGGATGCTAACCATGTAATGCTGATAGTTGCAAGTTGATGTTCGCTCGCGTACTTTCCAAGTCCTTTCTGGATTTCGATCAGCTAAACACCTGTCCTGCAAGAGGTAGACCATGAAGCCCCAAAAGGGCAAGGCCATGCAAACCAAGACCAGGTGCACCTGGCTGTTGCTGTCCAAAAATGTTGCAGGCTTTTGCTGGCAAGTTAGAGCCCTTCCATTACTGCTTCTGCTAAGCTCTTCCTCCTTCTGAAGAGCTTGCAAAGTGCGAGATGCTTGCTCGAAGCGTCTTCATCGCTTAACGCCATGTGCCACCGGACTTTAGGGCTGAATTCTTTGGGGTTCTGCTACTGGTACAAGTGGTGTCAGTACTGGTTAAGGGCTTAGGGTGCACGCCTCCCAGAACGAAAGCTCGAACGAGAAGATGGTGTCATTGGAATCCTGGGAATCATGACGGAATGCAGCACAGGCTCTTGATGCCTCTTCACAAGCACAATGTGAAACCCGGGAACACTCCTAGCTGAAAACTCCGGAGCCCCACTACATAGTGATGTAATGCGGCCTGCAGCCTGGTAGTTGAATGAATAGGCTCAGAGGTGTACTAGCGAATTTTCATAGTCAAGATGGTCAGAACAGCTTTCCTGCCCAGGACTTGCTAGAACCGTGAACGATGAACTAGTCCCCAGAGCTACTGCCCGGCCATCACATCATCAGGATGCCCTACAAGCAGTTCTAAAACATGTCAGATAAACTCGGGTCAAAAAAGCTGCGCTCTCCGTTTTTGCCATACCCCCATGTCTTTGCCTAAATAAGCATGAATCAACATAAGTGCCGGCTTGGAGTCACCCTGCCGCTCGGGAGGGTAGTAGTACTTGCCATTCATCGCCAAAATGCCGAGCCTACAGACAGCGGCTAGAGATCCGAAGTTGCGTACGTCATTTGTAGGTTGTTGTGACGGCTTCTCACTCTTCCCCCTAAAGCCTATAGAGGCTATAATATAGGGGATATATAGGGATTGCATAGGGACATATAGGGGTGGCATGCCCTCACTCAAAAATCCAACATGTTAGACTCTAAGAAGTAAATTGCAACACTTAGGTCCACCACCCTGAGCCAGTGGAGTACCCCAATCCCTAAACCGCGTTGTAGGGAATGAGGGAGTGCAGACCCCACAGGCGCCTAAAACGGTGTCTATAGCCCACTAGCCTATTTCTTACTAGCCAGCCTAAACCCTAGATCAGCTATAGTCCAAACTCCCTAGTGTCCCCCTTAATAGTCCTCATAATGCTCCCCTATACAACCCCGTATTAAACACCCCTGTAAGGAGTTTCGACTATGGCTCAAATGATAGGGGTAGCTTCCATGTTCTTTTCCATGCCGTTCTCTACTTGGAGGGTCAGGGGAACTTAGCAAGCAGACTGATAACCCCTTGTAACCCTAATATAATGACCCTACTATGCCCGTTATTAACCTACTTATTAAGTCCCCCTGAATCTCCAACCCTAAACCCTAAACCCTAAATAACAGCGCAAAGACAAGGTGCACGTTGGTAAGCGTTGTCGTGGCAAAGCGGACCATCCTCAGCAACAGCAAACCCAAAGGATCCTAAGTACCTATACAGGGAATACTGAACTAAAGCACATTCTTAATTCCTGGTATAGAAACCCTACATGGCACCATATAGATACTGAGAATCCTTTGTGGAAGTGGGGACATCGAGGCTACGACTCGTGCGTCATGGGCTGCTGTATAGGTACCCTCCGCTAACGGTGCAAGTACCAAATAGTTAGGTATTCGGGTTTCGGGTAGTAGCAATTATGGCGCAGGTTTTCGGAAAGTATATGATTACTATGTAATTGGACCCTGGGGCTCTAGCTGCACCTAATTGTCTTTACAGCTGCAGATACCATATTTGATTTCACTTCAGATCTAACATCCAATGAACTTCAAGTAGGGGGAATGAAGCCTTTGCCGATGTCTGTCTTGCCTACCAGTTGCTGGCCCGTGGTGAGGATGTAGCCTCTCGTTTCCTGGGTAACTCTGGGGAATTTGGTAGAACAGGAGGGGAGTTGATAAGCGCTAGGGGTGTCCCTCTTGAGGAGAACCCAGAAGCGGCGCTGATAAATTGGCTTGCTTGAGATTCGCGGTGCTTGCCGCAGGAAGCACCTAAATGTCAGTAACCTCGTTTTAGGATTTGCCTCAAAATTCTTACTGCGCCGTCGAACGCGGGAAGGTGGTGTTAAGACCAACCCGAAAATGGTGCTCAACGATGACAAGGTCTCAGGCGGCTCCAACTTGCTCCTCAGGCCCAGGGCTTGAGGACAGCAGGTGTGGCCTACATCAACTTGTAAAAAAGTGTATGTGTGTGTGTCAACATCACAGCCTCCTGTTCAAGTGTGCACGCGCAAAGCCTCAGTGTCTTTGGATACATGACGCACAAAGGTGTCAGTCTTGACACATATTCAAATCGGGAAGCAGTCAAGCAGGGCAGAGAGTAGCACCCAAGTTGGCAGTTTCCTAAACCCCAATACAGTACAGTAAATTCCATGTTCTTTTCCATGATCCCTATATAACCCCACTATACTATTGTAGTTTCCATGTTCTTTTCCATTATCCCAATATAACCCATCCTTAACAGGAAGCCCTAACCCCTTTGCACGCCCACATGGGTTCCCGAAGCTGAAGTACCCGCATTTTGTAAACCAAGGAAAAGAGAGAGGCCAAAACCCCAAGCCTAGACCCCAGAAATCCTTGTTTACACCTATAAAGAAAAATACATATACATATATATATATATATACCCATTATGGTAGCTTAAGTTAAATTCCTTAACAGCAACCCTATCTTCAACACGGTCCCCTCAGGGCATCCCCCTATTTGGAGGAAAAAGCCCAGGCTATTAGGGAGGCGAAAGGAGGAGTACTGGCCCATCCCTGTGTGTTGTCTAGCAACCCTCCAGCTCCACACGAGCCAAAGTTGGCACTGTCTAAAAACTTTAGGGCACAGGGTAGGCACCAATCATGGACTTGCCCTAAGGTTCCATGACTTGGCTTTGGTATCAATTAGTTATAGTACAGGTTTAGGGGACGTATCTGATCTGGCTGGATATTTGGGGTCAGAGGCCACGGCAAGAGGGCAAAACTGCAATTTTGCTTGCGCACGGGTTGAAGCTTAAGGTGACTTCTGTAGGAACCTTCGTAGTTTCTCCGGGGCAGTCGTGCATGGCATGGTCTCATCATCTGTTATCCGCCCCCCGGAGCAAGACATCTAGACCGCCAAAATGAAAGCTTCCACTTCATCAATCTGACGACGCCAAAGCTTAGCTGCCAAAAAACCTGACGCCCAGGGGCAAGTATCTAGATGCTACTCTCTTCTGCCTAGGCCCGCAAACAATCCTAAGTCTCCTTCCATGTGCGGATACCTCTTCTCTTCCATGTCTGTAAATCTAACGGAGCCCCGCACATGATCCATAGCTGATGTAGATTCTAGGCTTTGCAATGATTTTTGTGAAAAAACTTTCCAAACAAAAATCAAAATCCGGGAGCGATCACGGCAAGTCATCCGCAAATGTTAAGAAGCGCGCAACACGTGCTGTCACCCCTGAGCTTCGCACATCCCACATGATCCATATAGCCAATGTAGTTTCACGATTTTTGTGAAAACAAATCCGAATATGAATCCGGGAGTTGGAAATGCGATGGTGGCAAGTCATGCGCAAAAGCTAAGAAGCGCCCGTAGCCAGCAATTGGAGTAAAGATGCAGTGGTTTCCAGGTGCACGCTTGGTAGATTCCTGTCATAGACATGATAATGTTCAGGAGCCAGAAGTGGAACCCCCAGATATGGAAGTTCCCACATGTTCTCATACCAGGCTGTGCTTGCCTCTTATCATGTGTTGTTGCGTTGCGCCCTCTTGCGAGTACAGAGGAGACACGGCGATCAAATAGAGGCACCTTGCTGAGGCTATCAGGCTATAGTATTGCTGCAAATGCAAGACTGGGCGGTTTTCAAGCTAAAGGAGCCTTTCATGTTCCCTTACTTAGTCTGTTTCTGATTAGCAAAGGGTTGCTGACCAAAGGACCCTAAAAACTGAACCCTAAACCCGAAACACTAAACCCTACAATGGGAAGCAAGGCTCAACTCAATGGTCATCCCATCTCCAGCCACATCCGCAAAGATGTAGAAGAAACACATGACCTGGATACTTATCGGAAGCCCCAAGATGTACCCCAATATATAGTATAATCCTTAGCATTGGCACCCCAAAAAAGTGGACCCGCAATTTGCTACGTCTCAAACAATTAAAAAAAGGCTTCCTCAGAGGAAGCCAGACTTTGTGACTTCCGGGCTCTTAGCTGGAAAGCCCCTGATCTCTGAATCCGCTGTTGGAGCTACATGGATGGGTTCAACCACGCACACGTATGCGCATACATAGACACATAACAACAGAAGGTGGTGTGCTTTATGACAATGCCTCTAACTACTACCAATCTCCAACCACAGGTCCATGTCTAAATGTCAGCGCCAAAATCCACAAGGATTTTGTCAACCCAACCCCTGAACTCTGGAACCCACTATGGTCATATGATAGTCACCAGGGTCCTAAGGTTGGGTGCTCTTTTCATCCCCTCCCCATATTATTCAATCCCCCACTTCCCTTATGTTAGACATTGCCCACAACTATAGTACACCATACTGGGAATATTCAATACTAATTAGGGGGTGGCGGGGTGTAGTGAAGAGTAGGGGGAGGGGATTACTACTGTTGATACTAAAAATCCTGCATGATCTGACTATACTATAATACCATAATTCCCAGGGTTTAGGGTACTTAGGGTCATGCAGGATTTTTGGTATCCACCGTAGTTCAAGCCAGGCTTCCACAAGTAGCATCATGTACACTGCAAAGTTGCCCTCGTCCGCAAGATTTTGTGCCAGGATCGACATGCAGGCTAGGATGACCCTGAGCGAGGAGTTTGGGTAACTTCAAAAAAAAACTATAGGCTCTCTAGGGAGGTATAAAGATCATTGGAGGGTGCTATGAGTATGCTCAAATGCAACAAGATCTTTTGTAAGGTAAGGTGTGGCCCCGGGATGACAGAACATGATTACACCCAGTTGAGGCTCCTGTAGTGGAAACTCAGACGGAGTGGAAAATGGGCGATGGAATGGACGCTGGAATTATCTAGTATGTACGTTCTTAGAACCTTGGATGATTTGGTGATAAAACACTCAAACTTCATGAGGATGTCTGCGCTGATGTGTGGGCGTCGCGGAAGGTTGGGTAAAGATTCAACTAAGACCTCAGTGATGGAATGAACAAATCAAGGGCATACTGAGCTTTTCCTCAGACTTGTCACTCATGGAGCAGCTGCCTCTAACACTGCTAGACTTTGTGCAGCTGCGAGAAAATCCGTGACATCAAGCCCCCAGAAACCCTAAGCCACGTGATGAGGCAGCACCAAATCATCTAAGTCATACCATGTCATGCCCAATGTTTTTGTGAAAGGATGAAACAGCTGCGACTCAAGCTGCCTAGACCTCCATCTCCTACCCTTTTGTTGGGTACCTAATTTTGTGTATAGAAGATACTAGACATATAGTTAAGTGTTCTAGAATATGGGTAGATTATAGGGGTCTACCTGGTTTAGGGCGTCAGGTCTCGCACCCCCTTTGGACATCCCCGGCCTGAGACATGGGAGTTTAGGTGGTTTAGGGTGTTTGGTGATTAGGGTTTAGGTGGTTTAGGGTCTTCAGTGTTTAGGGTTTAGGCATAATTCTTAAGGCCGAAGCATTGGGGTAAACCGTGTATCGATCAAGCCATCGAGAACAGTTGGATGTCCACTGACACTGGCGCAGTCATGAGAAAGTAAAATGTACCTCAGCCATGATCCAAAAAAGTCACAAACCGCAAGTACAATTAGTAGCATGAAGCCGTGAGACATACCTGAGACAAACCCAAGAAAGCTATAGCTTGTTCGGCCTCGCATTTTGAGTCATGGGCAATCCCTCACACAAAACAGGGGTTCTCACAAAGTAGGAGTTCTCCCACCTGGATTACTAGAGCGACCCATGAACCTTTAGTCACGCAGACTCGCGCATTGGGCTTAATCATCTGCCCAGCAACAGTGATGTGGTCCATCCAAAGATGATCCATCCCCGCCGCCTTCTCTTAGAGCTACATGTGAGGGTTTCCGATAACAAGTGGTTCCCTGCACTGGGCTCTCTGTAGTAAAAACCTTAGTTGTTGCTCGAGGGGGACCGTCCATTGTTGGAAATGTCCATATGTCAAAGTCTTTCCTTAACGATGCCGTAGATGAGGTCCCCTGGCTTTGATGTACAGGTGGTTTTCTTGATGCAACTGACTATTACGGTTCGTGTTCTTACTGCTATGGTCATTTTTTACTGCTATTGCTACTATTGCTCTTGTTAGTAATATTGATATGTTTGATATTACTATTACCACATCATTTGCGTTTACAGATGTCTTGATGTAGCTCTGCCCTGTCTTGCGGGCTCTCGGGGAAGGTAACTGGGATCCCTTCCATGGTAAGGGTTGTAGGGTTAAGGCTAATTAGTGACGGCTCAGGAATTAGGCTTCAAGGTTCTTGGGGTGTAGGGGTTAAGGAATGCGGGCCCAGGATCTTCAAGGCTCTTTCTGGGGATGCCCTCTGCATGGCAGGATACCACAATGCGTTGGTTTCATGACACGTGCTGCGCATCTGGCTTGCAGTCCATGACTCCAAAGTCTTGACGAAACCAAAAAGACGATTGTGCTATCAATTCATCCCAGCAACTCTCCATTGAAGGAAGATCCTAAGTGCAACTTAAGGCACCCTATGTGGGACAAACCCTTCTCCGAAAGTGCTTCAAGGAACACTGGCTGAACCCTTCAAACCTCATACCCCGGACACTTAGCCCCCCCCCCCCCCCCACCGCCTTGCTCAAAAAAAGTAATGTTCCTCGTATTGCAGCTCTCAACCTGAAACCCCGGACCCTTAACCCCATGCACTGCCTACTGCCGCAGAGTCCGATCTGATCTAGCAGGAGACCATAGAAGATCTTGAAGTTCCAGGGCATCTGGGTAAGTGACACCTTAGCTTTCTGGGTTTCTGGTCAGGGTTAAACGGTTTAGGGCTCAGGGCAACCTGAACGTGAGCATAGGACGTGAAGGGAAGAACAAGAAATCGTAAACTTTTGGGATTTTTGGGTTTGGGTTAATTGTTAGCAAGGAATGAAGGACCTGCTGAGATTACGACTGGGGTTCATGTTCCGTTCCCTGAAGTGAAGGCCTGTGAGGGCCATTCAGCGAGGACATGGCTTCAGAGTTTCGGGATATCTGACATTTAGGAACATTGACGATGAGGACTGGTGACGTGCCACAAGCCTGCGAACAAATGCGGCAATCACTTCAACCGCCCATGCTCCAGGCACAATCTATGCACGTCACCCGCCGTTTCCCAACAGCTTCTCCCCCAAACCCTAAATCCTGAACCCAAAGCCCTAAACCAAACCCCAAACCGCTTGCCAATGCGACTCAGCCGCCGAGATGTTACATTGCCTTGGACAGGCACTTACCCAAACCCGCGACCCTCGTATTGTTCAACTGGGAGCCCTCCCAGTTCAAGTAAAGGCCTTGTTGGGTGTTGCAACGCAAGTTGGGACGTACAGCACGTAGGTCAATCCGAGTAGCCAGACCAAGGCTAGGGACCAGGGTGTCACATTTGGGGAATAAGGTAGGAGTTTCTCAACATGATCCCTGTCGTCCGTATAGCCCCTTGGAGTAAATCATCTTTGCAGGGTATCCATGTTTTGAGAATCACCCAAGTGTAAGTGGGGTGAGAATGGTTCTTTGCAGTACCGCTGCAGTGATTTGTTTTTTGGGGGGGGTCTGGGGCGGCTCCAAAACAGGAAGCCCTTGATTATTATGGCGTGTTGCTTAATAAGGAGATTATGGAGGCTTTATCTGTAAGAATTGCAGAAGAACTGATTTGAAAAGCTCCTGATATCACAGAGGGACTCGTCCGGCGGACCCTCGTGGGCCGGCCTTCCGGAACGGAAAGATGCGCATAGGACAAGTCCATCCTGTTCTTGCAGGAGATTAAGTCCCATGCCGGCAAATCGGACTGCCAAAGTCTAAACGATCACGCTTTCTGAAGTCCCAGCCGACTCGACCGACTGCTATCACCCTCCTGCAACAAGCAATCGCTCGTCTTCCAAGGCCCAAAGCCAAGCCGACCTCCTCCATCACAGGGCTGTAATGCAACCCCCTGAAACGCGAGTCCTGAATCCTTCACGCATGTTTTCGTAACTATGCCGAAGTTGCTGCACCGAAGCGCGTCCAGAGGCCCCAAGTGGGCCAAAGACGTATTGACAGATCGGGATGTTGATGTAGTTCCTTTGCAGGCTTCAAAAGCACATCTTCGAAATGATGGTTTCCATCAGAAAGGGATCCCGATATATACCCCATACTACTACGAGCCTTATTGCTATTGGGGCCCCAAAACAGGACCCCCAATTTTCGGAGACTCTATAAACGGGGCCATCTTGCCAAGGGGCGAAACAAAGCCGTAGATCAGCCCTACGATCCCATACCTGGACACAGTTCTCAGCAAACTGGGTTGCTGTTCGGAAACTTCAATTAAATTACGATAATAAGGAAGCCCTAGTATCTACTATGTAAGTATCTCACGGTAACTTACTTCAAGTTCCTTAAAAGCAACCCAGTTGTTTCAGACGTTCTTGCAATTAATTGGCTACGATCTTTAGCTTCTAAATAGGTTGCTCCGGCCCTATGAAGCGAGAACTTGGGCTCAAGGCTTCTAGAGCTCTGAGTAGGAAAGAGATGTGGGCAACTCATAGTTGGCGGATCTCCTGTGCAACAAGAAGACTTCAGAAAATGACAGGCATCCATTGGCGGCCGAAGCACATGCAGTACAGGCCCCAAACTGCGGTCTTATCCACCGCTCCTGCACGACAAGATCCTTTTGCTTGGGAGGGCATCCGCGCATTTCTGAAACTCGGGCTTCGCCTTACACGCCTGCAACATGATGTCATCCTTATTGGAAGAACTCCGTTTTTGCAGGCCCTGTTTTTGGGCTGACATTGTTCCTGGGTTACCCTTCAAGGTCCCTGGGGCGTAGGGGGTTTAGGGATGTGGAGCTGTTCATGACAGAGCCCTTGCTGTAACCATGATAATTCCAATGCCTGAAATAAGGCCATGTTGGGGCTATCTTCCATAAAATGCTAGTTGAGATGACATCGCGCCAAGTCATTCTACTAACAATTAAACAGAACACACCTTCAGCCGAGTCCTGGCGCAGGGTCCAGGGATAGGCGCGCAGCTTCCACTATGCTTTGAACGAAACTTTGCCGTTGACTGCTGCGGGCGCCTGCGTAGATGTGGCAGATGGACGCATGAACCGTAGTAAGTTTAATCAGAATCACTCCGAGTTGGCCTGGCATAGTTGGAGTCATACTATCTTATCTCCCAACATCCTCCTAGGTGACCATTACTCGAGTGTAGGCGCATGCAGGACAGAGTCCATCAACTGTCAATGGTAGGGGTTGGAATCGACGGACACTGAGGCTGCGATAAAGTATGACGAGAGCAATCCTGTCCTCTAAGAATACTGATCCCACACTCCTGTATTGACAAATACTCCCCGTCACTGTAAAACGCTGCCATATTGAGAAATAGTTGTTAAGGGCTGGGGCCTTGTATTATAGTCGGGGAAGGGATTTGCTTGCAAACGGACCCGACTAAAAAGGCAGATGTTCTTGCTCACTATGACCTTCCTGTTGTTCTGTCCACCCGGGCTATTCCCAAATGCCACTTTCTGTAGGAATGCTGCGTAAAACATGTAAAGCCCCCAGCAAATTATTCCTTGACCTAAAAGGCCAAAAGGCCTCCTCAAACAACGCTATAGTCCTTAAGCCCTATAAGTCCTGAGCCCTAAATCTTAGAGCTTAAACCCGAAGCCCTAGGCGCCCTAGATCCTAAATGTGGCTTAACCTTGAACCGTAATCGTCTTAAACCCTGAACCCCTAAAACC